TGTATGCTGAAAGATCAGAGAGACAAAGGAGCAAACCACAGCCACCTCTCTTACTTACCTTGCCAACTCCTCAGCCTGAAAGGGGGTGTGCTCCTCCCATCATATTTATTTATTTAATTTTTTTTGAGGGGGGTGCTTTCGAGACAGGGTTTCTCTGTGAAGTTTTGGTGCCTGTCTGAGATCTTGCTCTGTAGACCAGGGTGGCCTTGAACTCATAGAGATCTGCCTGGCTCTGCCTCCCGAGTGCTGGAATTAATGGTGTGCGCCACTGCCTGGCTCCTGCCTTATATTCTTCTCTCCACCCAGCCCTATCACTTCCTGTCTCCACCTCCTTAGTATTGGGATTAAAGGTGTTCTTCCTAAGTACTAGGCTCAAAGGTATGAGCCTCTGTCCGCCTGGTGGCCTTGAACTCCTGATCTTCCTGCTTCCTCCTCTCAAGAGCTGGGATTAAAGGTGTGCACCACCACCACCACCACCACCACCACCACCACCACCACCACCACCACCACCACCACCACCACCACCTGGCCTCTATGTTTAACTAGTTGCTAGCTCTGCATTCTGATCTCCAGGCAAGCTTTATTTGTTAGAGCACAAACAAAATATCAGCATAGTGGGCCACCTCTGCTCGGCTTTAATTTTTATTTTTTATCTTCTAAAGAACACACTAGCCCTGGGCTACCAAGTGAGTTCCAGGAAAGGTGGAAAGGTGCAAAGCTACACGGAGAAACCCTGTCTCCAAAAACAAAAACAAAAACAAAAAAGAACACACTAGCACATCAATCCATCAAAACTTTTTTTTTAAACTGGGGGGGGGGGGGGGGGCGGTAGCTTTTTTTAACCCAGGCTGGTCTGGTGCTAACTATGTAGCCAAGAATGACCTTGAGTTCCTGACCTTCCTTGCTTCTACCCACTGACAACTAGGTTTATCCAGTGTATGCAGTGCTAGGGGTCAAACCCAAAGTTTAGTGTATGCTAGGCAAGCGCTCTACCAACTGAGCCAAATCCCTAGTTTCTATTGTTAACCTTGTACTTGCCTAAAAAATTAAACTCTTACCTCTTACCACAAGTTATGTACGGTACAGGAAGAAACAGTTTATATATGGACAGTGCCATGGCACACAGCTAGGTATTCTCTTACAGACAATGCTCAGGGATGACAGGAAAATATTCTAGCCTTTTATGAAACCCCAGGCATGTTCCCTAAAAAGATTTTATTTGCTGTGGCACATACCTTTGATCTCAGAACTCTGGAGGCAGAGACAGGTGGTATCTTAAGTTTGAGGCTAGTCTGGTCTACAAAGAGAGTTCCATGGTCAACCAGAGATACATAGTGAGACCCTGTCTTGAAAAAAAATAAATAAATAAAAATATCTTATTAAAATTCTTTTACTAACTGTAAAAAGGTATGTGTGATGAAGGCGGCTAGAATAGGGGGCATCAGACCTCTGAAACTGGAGTCACAGGCTACTGTGAGCTGTGGCACAAGGGTACTGGGAACCTAACTAGAATCCTCTGGAAGAACAAGAAGCACTCATCTGCTGAGCCATGTCTCTAGTCCAAATCTCAGGCATTCATTTATGACAATGCTTAATCTATCTACCCCAACTTTCACCTCTGTACCTATGTTAGGTACCAAAAGTTCAAATAGTTTTTTTGTTTGGTTTGGTTGTTTTTTTTTTTTTTTTTTTTTTTCTCGAGACAGAGTTTCTCTGTGTAGCTTTGGAGCCTATCCTGGAACTCACTCTGTATACCCAGGCTGGCCTTGAACTCAGAGATCCGCCTCCAGAGTGCTCTGGACTAATGGCATGCTTTAAGCTCCTTTCAAATATACAAGTATTTCTAGCGGTGATTTAATGATAAGTCTAAGAACAACCTGGAATTCTTCAAATATTATTTAGATTCCTATTTCATAGGGCTTTCCTATGTCTCTCTTATATTCAATGGTTTTCATACCTGGTGAGTAGTGCTTATCATTCTTTTTTAGAAACATGATGATGGAGCAGGGCTTGGCTTGTAGCCTCAGCTGGGAAGAGTCCTTGCCTAGATACACAAAGTGCTACAAAATCCAGTGTGGTAGCCCAGAATCCCCAGCACTTCGGGAAGCAGAAACATGAAGATAGAAGTTCAATATTATCTCTGGCCACATAGTTCTAGGTCAGCCTGGGCTATGAGACCTTGTATAAAAATAGTACTCCCTCGGGAGGCAGAGCCAGGCAGATCTCTGTGAGTTCAAGGCCAGTCTGGTCTCCAAAGCCAGTTCCAGGAAAGGCACAAAGCTACACAGAGAAACCGTCTCTGAAAAAACCAAAAAAAAAAAAAATAGTACTCTGGTGAAAGAGATGCTAAGTAATCTGTTATGCATGAATCAATTTACCTAAAATGTCCAGTGCTCCCATATGAATAATGTTAAATCATGAAATGAAGTAACTTTAACACTAGGTCCCCGAAAGGGCCTAACTTTAAAGTATTGGCAAAACATTGACTCTTTTAGCAAGTTTAGTTCTACCTTTTGATTTTGTTGCATTTTTGTTTTCTATGTTTGCTTTTTCGCAATTGAGAATAAAACCCAACTGGATAGTGACCCACATCCTTAATCCCAGCACTTGGGAGACAAAGGCAGGCAGATCTCTTTGGTTTTCAGGCCAGCCTGGTCTACAGAGCTAGTTCCAGGGCAGCCAAGGCTGTTACACAGTGAAACCCTCCCCTGAAAAAAAACAAAACCAAAACTAAAAGCCAAAGAGAACAAGCCCCATGCCTCCTCACATACACTAGGCAAACACTCTACTACTGAGCTATAGATCTCCTGCTGAAGCCCTACACTTTAAAAGCCATGAAGTCAGGCTGTGGAAATGACTCAGTAGGTAAATACACTTGCTGTCTAAGTCTGAAGGAGTTCAGCTCCCCAGAACTCACATAAAAAGCTGGATGTGCTGGTGTTTCCACAGCAAGATGGGAGGCAAAGACAGAACTGAAGGCTAGAGACCAGTTAGCCTCAGATATGCTGCACATAACCAAAACAAGAGACTCTGACTCACACAAGAAGGTGAAAGTGATCTGCTGTAGCAGGAATCTTAAAAGTTCTTATTAATAAAAACAAAACCTGGAGCCAGGTATTTGAGGTGAACACTGGAAGATCAGAGAAGCAGAACAAACCACAGCTAGCTCACCTCGCCAGTTCCTCAGCTGATCCTGTTTTCCTCAGACTGGAAGCCTCTCAATCCTCATTCAGAATGAATCTCAGCTGAACCGCTGCTCAAAAACCTAAAAGCTTAACCAGCCAAAAGCTTCTAAGTTTCTGGTCCTCATGCCTTATACATCTTTCTGCTTTCTGCCATCACTCCCTGGGATTAAAGGCGTGAGTCACCAATGCCTGGCTGTTTCCAATGTGGCCTTGAACTCAAAGAGATCCAGAGGGATTTCTACTTCTGGAATGCTAGGATTAAAGGCATGTGCTGCCAGGCGTTGGTGGCGCACACCTTTAATCCCCAGCACTCGGGAGGCAGAGCCAGGTGGATCTCTGTGAGTTCGAGGCCAACCTGGTCTACAGAGCGAGTTCCAGGAAAGGCACCAAAGCTACACAGAGAAACCCTGTCTCGAAAAACCAAAAAAAAATAAAAAAAAAAAAAAAAAAGGGCCTGTGCTATCACTGCCTATCCCTCTATGTTTAATACTGTGGCTGTTCCGTTCTCTGACCCCAGATAAGTTTATTAGGGTGCACAATATTTTGGGGAACACAATACCACCACAATCTACCCCTTATAAATTAAAAATATAAACAATCCTTTAGTGCGCATGCACACGTATATGTATTAAGTGTATATTCCTGCATGTTTGCATGTGAGTGTGGGTGTGTATAATTGGAGGTCAAAGACCACCTCAGATGTTGGTCCCAGACTTCTACCTTGTTTGAACAGGGTCAAACACAGGGTTATTCACTACTATGTATGCCAGGCTAGATGTCTTTCAGGCTTCCAAGGATTCTCTTGTCTCTGTCTGACATCTCAAAGTAGGACCACAGGGAGAGACGCACGCGCCTGGCTTCACATGAGTTCCAGTCATCTAAACTCACATGCTCACACTTGCAGTGAATGACAAGTGTGTCTACTCACACTCACTGAGAACTCTAAGTACTATGTCTTATCCCTGTTTTGTCTGTTTGTCTTCTTTTCTTTTCTTTTCCTGGCATACCTGAGGATCAGACCAGGACCCTGAGTATGCTAGGTGAAAGCACTTTACTACTAAGCTACACCCACATCTTATCCCTATTTCATTAAAGGGGGAAAAAAAGATTATGAAACTACCAATGGACTGGAGTAAATGGCTCAGTGTTTAAGAGCACTGCCTGCTCTCCCAGACAACCATGGTTTGGTTCCCCAGCACTCACATGCCTGCTCAGAACCATATTTAACTCCTGTTCTAGCTGATCTGATGCTCTCTGGACTGTGGGCACCAGACAACACAAATGCAGTGCATAAATATACATGCAGGCAAAACACTCATACATACAAAATAAGAAAAAAAAAAATTTTTTTTTTTTTCAAGATAGGGTTTCTCTGTGTAGCCCTGGCTGTCCTGCAACTCACTTTGTAGACCAAGGTGGCCTTGAACTCAGAGATCCGCCTGCCTCTGCCTCCCAAGTGCTGGGAATAAAGTTGTGTACTACTACTGCCCAGCAAGAAAATAATTTTTTTAAAATAATAACAATAAAGGAAATTATCCCAGCTCACCAACCTGTATCTTAAAGGGTGGAACAAGAATCTGGTCCCAGGAAATCTGGCTCCCAAGTCTGTGCTCCCAACCAATCCCTTAAACTACCCCCTCAAAAACAAGATCATAAAAATATCAGCTCCATGATGGGGAGACTCTATGGTCTGCTGCCTTTCTTGATTCTTATGAAAGTATGTAAATGGGAAAAGACAGACAGTAGCTCATGGGCAAATAAACCAAAGTTTTCTACTTCTACAGAGTCCTAATGCCTGGAAAAGAAGGCACTTACTCAGAAAAGCCTTTCCACTTCAACAGATACTCCACTTGCCCCTTAACCATGCGCCTGTCTAACACCTTTTCCACGACGTACTCCTCCTCATCCTCTGAAGAAGAGCTGTCAGCTGTCCTCTTGGTTTTCTTTCCCATGTCGCACGTTGATCCACCTGAAGGACTAAGGCCACCAGGTTCCTCCTGAAAAGGGGGAAAGACAAAATGGTTACAATCCATGAGGGTTAAAACTGTCACTTCTTGATGGAATAGAGGGTAACAATACAAGTGAGCCACATATCCTTCTTATTGGTCTACAATTATTCTAAGACAGGGGCTACAAATTTAATTTGTGATGGGTCAATCCACATTTCCCTAAAAACAAGTTCTCTTCAGTTGAAGAGATCAAAATTATTAGATGGCACAATTGTTTAACTCCTTTAATTTTATATTCCAAAAAAGCAAATAGCATGATATGTTATTCTCAACCGTTTCTACATCTACTTGTGAGCCAGGAACTCAAAGAGAAATGTGGAAAACCTTCAATTAAAGGAACCAAGACAGAATAAATAAAAATCTTTTCCTCCAAGGTGAATAAAGGTCTTTATAAAAATGAAGAAAAAGAAAAAAAGAAACCTCCCCCCCACAAAACACCCAAAAGTAACTTTTCTTTACTCTGAGCATTTGATCAGTCTCTTAGCAACAAACACACACACACACGCCCACTTGGGTCATCTCTCACCACATTTCTAGTGACTTGGTACATTTCCCTTAAACAACTTGAGCCTGTCCCTTCAATGTCCATCAGCTCACAAAAGCAAGGCTGACAGTTCAAACACACTAAGCCTCCTTTTTAGCAAGCTCATTTGGAATACAAGGGAAGAGGGGCAAAGAAAAAAAACTTCAAAATTAGTTACTGGACTAGCCTGTAATTCCCAGGGCTCAACTAACCCAAATAGTTACATAGGTACCTTGCCTCTTAACTGAAGTTGAGTTTGGGCCAAAGGAAGAGGAGGGGAAAGAAATCTGGCCCCAGATTCTGCATCAACATGAAGCCTCCTCAGAACACAGAGGACTATTCATCGCCCAGGAAAGCCAGGGCAAAGCATCACAAATGGAAATTGAGTTAAGCTCAGAAATATGCACGTCAGAGGTACTCAACAGAGAATCTAGTTTTTAAAATTCCCACAATGTTGAACTATAATCATTTAAAAAAAAATTCTTCCTTAATCATGTTAAATGGTACCCATAGTCTGGATTACCAAATAGCAGGAATCGATATCTTAGCTGACTCCATTGTTATTTTGCTATAATCTCTAAAGATGTTTTGCAGAGCATTCCCATCTTGGCCAGAAAGCCAACCTCAGGAATAGAAAGGGCAACTAATCTCAGAATTATGTTCAAGGCAAAGAAGTAGAAGTTGTATTTATCAATTTATTTCAAATTAGTAATTTTAAGAAATCATTACAGGAATATAGTGTTGAAAATCCTACCTAAAGAACTTATTAACAGTAGGTAGGCCAGCCTCAAAAACTGCTTGTATTAATTTCTGACCTATATAATAACTTTGAGAGAGAAGGCATGGGAGAATGTAGGTAAAAGGTTTAAAAAAAATCTTTCCATTAATTTAGAAGACTCCCAGGCATCAAAAAATTATATTAAGGTTTATTTAAAATAAACAGCCTCCGACCTCACCACAGACAGGAAATGTCATATTCCAGAGAGAGTACCCCACCCCCACCCCCACTCACCTTGGAATTTCCGGGAGCTGAGCAGTTTAGGTCAGAGCGCTGGGTTAAAACCAGCCCCATGTTGGAAGCATGCAGTTAAGCATTGTGGCTATGGCCTTCCCTGCCTCACCAGGAAGAAAAAAAACAAGGATTTACATATGTGTTCTACAGTTTGGGGGAGGAAAAGAATTTTTTTCTTTATACCTTCATGCTGAAGAGAAGCCCTAAGTAGATCAATAGGGGTTCCCTCCCTTACCTACCGGATCGCCCCAGTTCCTTCTTTCCCTCTGGGCTAACAGGAGGGGCCTCCCCTCCCAGGTCTGGGGCTTGGCGGGCTGGCAGCTCCCCCGCCCCCACCCAGCTGCCTGGGCGCCACTGCGCAGCTGTCCCAGTCCGTTGCCATGGCAACTGGCAGCCGTACTAGACTAAGAGGGAGAGGCAAATGAAAAAGTTAAAAGGCTTAACTTTCCTTTTCACTGCAGACTGGGTGGAGAAGTTGGAAGGTACCTCCCTTGGCCTTAAGACTAGGGCCTTTAGAGCTCAAGGGAGTTAGTTCTTTGGTTTACAGACCAAAATTTAGGCTTATTCCTCTAAAAGCACTGTGAATTAATCAGTAGCATGTTAGGACCACCTAACAGGATCACAGCTCACTGGCAGAGGGGGAGGGGCAAGAGTAAGTTCTTCAAACAACAGACCAAGACAAACCACCCAAATCTAGAAGCACTTTAGACAAAGCTTTTTCCACCATCTGTCACTGTACACAGTTAATTAAAATTGCTTAAGGGAAAGAAGTAACAGGGAAAGGGAGAGGGTTAATATTTTAATAATACTATGTAACTTTTCTTGTTTGAGAGAATCACAACACAACTAAAACCCAAAGACGTGAAACAACAGCTGGGGATGCAATCCGGCCTGGGACAGACGACTGAGCTACACCCCACCACAGAAGAACCTTCCGACTGAACTTATAGGAGGGAGAGCAAGCAGGCCACAGCCATTGTGGTTAAATTTAAGTTTTTTTATTAGTTATTCTTGTAATGCTATAAAACAGACTTTTAGTAATTATAACCCCTAATATATTACTCATAATTCCTAAGACCCAAGGAAAGGAGGACATAATAGTAAAACAGACCATTAACAGGAAGCAGAAAAATCAGGAATTCAAGGTCAGGTACAACTAACACAGCAAGTTCACGACCACCCTGTATTACAGGAGACCTAGTCTCAGAAGACAAGAAAGAAAACCAGACTATAATACATAGTGTCCTTTCACCTGGCTGTAACAAATGTTTTAGAGATCCAAGACCCTATTTGCTTCACATATGGGAATTTAAACTTTTTTTGTAGTGTCAGAGCCTTATGCATGCTAAGGCTGCTTCCACAGGAGAGTAAGGGAAAGGGCAGTGTTCTTTACTTTATAAGGGGCTGAAGAGATGGATAAATCAATCATTTTAAACACTTAACTGCTCTCGCAGAGGACCAGGGTTCAGCTCCCAGAACCCACAGAGTGGCACACAACCACCTGTAACTCTAGTCCCATGGGATCTGACACCCTCTTCTGGCATCTGAGGGCAACAGGCATGTATGTGGTATACAGACATATGCAAGCACACATTCACACATATAAAATAAAAAATTTTTTAAAAATCTTAAAAAAGCTGGGCGGTGGTGGTGCACGCCTTTAATCCCAGCACTCAGGAGGCAGAGCCAGGTGGATCTTTGTGAGTTCAAGGTCAGCCTGGTCTACAGAGCGAGATCTAGGAAAGGCGCAAAGCTACACAGAGAAACCCTGTCTCGAAAAACAAAACAACAACAACAAAAAAAAACCTTAAAAAATAAAAAAGAACTCCAAGTCAACATACCACAGAGACATACCACATCCATGTTATGGCAATGCTATCTACAACAGCTAAAATACAGAACTAACTTGCCCAGCAACAGAGGGATGGGTAAATAAAATGCATATATACACTATGGAATCTTTTTCAGACATAAAGAATAAAGTTAAATCATTTTCAAGAAAATGGATGTAACTGGAGATGATTATATAAAAAGAAGCTGCCGGGCGGTGGTGGTGCACGCCTTTAATCCCAGCACTCGGGAGGCAGAGCCAGGCGAATCTCTGTGAGTTCGAGGCCAGCCTGGTCTCCAAAGCGAGTTCCAGGAAAGGTGCAAAGCTACACAGAGAAACCCTGTCTCAAAAAACCAAAAAAAAAAAAAAAAAAAAAAAAGCCAGTCTTAGAAAGATAAATATAGTATGTTGCTGTGGGGTGATCTTTCTGTATGCTGTGAATAGGTGTTGCTATGAATGGTTAATAAAGAAGCTGCTCTGGCCTATGGCGAGTCAGGATATAGGCAGGCAAGAAATCTAAGAGAAAGAGACAGGAAGAGGAAGGACTGAGTCAGTTGCCAACCAGACACAGAGGAAGCAAGATGACAAGGCAGAACTGAGAAAAGGTACCAAGCCACATGGCTAAACATAAATAAGAATTATGGGTTAATTTAAGTGTAAGAGCTAGTCAGTAATAAGCCTGAGCTAATGGCTGAAGATATAATTAATATAAGCTTCTGAGTGATTATTTTATAAGTGGGTGGAGGGCTTGGCAGGACTGGAGAAACTTTCCAACTACAGTATGTTCTCTCAATGGCAACTCCTAGTTTTAATAGAGATACATAAAATCATGTATGTAGAACTAACACTGTTAGGGGAGAAGGGGGACTAAAAAGAGGGCGAGAAATGGGAGGATAAGGGGGAGGGAATGTGCTCAATATATCACATAGACCTATATAAAAACTTAACAAAAGAAAACCTAGCGTGGCGGTGTATGCCTTTACTCATAGTATCCAAGATCTCTAAGTTTAAGGCCAATGGGTGGGTGGGTGGGGTATGGGGAGGGTGGGGGTAGCTTCAAAAGTAGAGAATGGTGATAATTTTGGCCATCAAACAGAAGTATCAGGGGTTGGGAGGTGGTGGCGCACACCTTTAATCCCAGTACTTGGGAGGCAGAGGCAGGCAGATCTCTGTGGAGTTCAATGCCAGCCTGGGCTACAGTGCAAGTTCCAGGACAGCCAGAGCTGTTACAGAGAAATCTTGTCTCAAAAAACCAAACCAAGCCGGGTGGTGGTGGCACACGCCTTTAATCCCAGCACTCGGGAGGCAGAGGCAGGCGGATCTCTGTGAGTTCGAGGCCAGCCTGGTCTCCAAAGTGAGTTCCAGGAAAGACGTAAAGCTGGACAGAGAAACCTTGTCTCGAAAAACCAAAAAAAATAAAATAAAATAAAATAAAAAAATAAAAAAACCAAACCAACCAGGAGTTTCAGAGTATGAGAGTTTTTGTGGTACTAAGGGTTGAATCTAGCACATTTCATGCTCATAGGCAAGTGTTCTACCACTCAACAGTATCTCATCTATTTATTTTCATTCAAAGGGTCTCATCAAGTTAACCCAGTAAGTCCTTGAACTTACAATCTTCCTGCCTCAGTCTCCTGAATTATTAGTTGGCTTTCACCAATCCAGCAGCACGTGTCTGAAGAGCAAATTTTTGGTTTTGGTTTTGGTTTTTTTTTTTTTTTTGGTTTTTCAAGACAGGGTTTCTCTGTAGCTTTGGAGCCTGTCCTAGACTAGCTCTGTATACCAGGCTGGCCTCGAACTCACAGATCCACCTGCCTCTGCCTCCTGAGTGCTGGGATTACAGGCGTGCGCCACTACCACCCAGCAAAATTTTTTTTTATTGCTAAAGAATTTCTCAGTTCAGGAACTTTTGGTTTTTTGTCCATGTCCATTTGTTGTCCCATGTCGCTTGCAAATGCACACACACACACACACACACACACCCCCAAAAGACAAAAGACAGCATCTCTCTGTTTTCCAGGCTGTCTTAGAACTCACTATTTAAATTAGGCTGGTCATAGGTCTATCTCTGTCTGTTTCTGCCTCCTGGGTGCTGGGATTAGAGGTATATACCACAATACTGAGCACCATCACAGCTTTTTAAATTTATATACATATATATATTTATATACTTATATGTATTATATATTTTTAAATTTATATACATATAAATATATATGTATATATATATATATATATTTTTTTTTTTGCTGTGGGATATCGTTCTGTATGCTGTAAATATTTGTTGGTCTGATTGGTTGATAAACCGCTGATTGGCCAGTAGCCAGGCAGTAAGTATAGGCGGGGCAAGCAGATGAGAATTTTGGGAGGAAGAAGGGCTGAGTCAAGAGTCACCAGCCAGACACAGAGGAAGCAAGATGACAAGGCAGAACTGAGAAAAGGTACCAAGCCATGTGGCTAAACATAGATAAGAATTATGGGTTAATTTAAACGTAAGAGCTAGTCAGTAATAAGCCTGAGTGAATGGCCGTACAGTTATAATTAATATAAGTTTTAATATAAGTCCCCAAGTGTTTACTTGGGGAACATGAGTGGGAGAGATTTGTCCTGACCACTGGCCGGGCACGACACAGGAAAACTTCTGACTACAATATCGTGTGTGTGTGTGTGTGTGTGTGTGTGTGTGTGTGTGTGTGTGTGTGTGTGTGTGTATGCCTGCATGTCATGGTGTGCATATGGAGATCAAAGTACAACTTTTGGGAGCTGATTCCCTCCTTTCACTATGTGAGTTCCAGACACTGAATGAAAAATCATCAGGCTTGGCAGCAAACTTCTTTACCCACAGACCCATTTCCCCAAACAGTGTGGCAGTGTTCCATGATGCTGCCAGCATTCAGAGGGTAAAAAAGAACTATCACTAGCTCACAAGTTTGAGGCCAGTCTGGGCTACAATAAGACTGCCATAAAAACTAATGAGGTCTGGGAGACATGTCTCAGTGGTCAAGAGAGCTTGCTGTTCTTCAGAAGACTAAGTTCTCAGCACTCATAACTACCTGTAATTCCAGCTCTAGGGGATTGGACGTCCTCTTCTGGCTTCCGTGGGCACCATCAGGCACACATACAAAAACAAAAAAACTTTTTTTTAAATCCCAATTCATTTCTTTCTTTTTCCTTTTTTTTTTTTTTTTGGTTTTTCGAGACAGGGTTTCTCTGTGTAGCTTTGTGCCTCTTCTGGAACTCACTTGGTAGCCCAGACTGGCCTCGAACTCACAGAGATCCGCCTGCCTCTGCCTCCCGAGTGCTGGGATTAAAGGCGTGCGCCACCACCGCCCGGCCTCTTTTTCCTTTTTTAAGACAGGCTCTGTGTAGCTCTGGTTGTCTTGGAACTCACTTTTTTTTTTGTTTTGTTTTTTGTTTTTTGAGACAGGCTTTCTCTGTATAGTTTTGGTTCCTGTCCTGGATCTCACTCTGTAGACCAGGCTAGCCCCAAACTCACAGAGATCCACCTGGCTCTGTCTCCCAAATGCTGGGATTA